GTGACTAGTAGTATTACTATTACTGTTGATTAATCTAAGTGGAGATCATCTCAGGGTTTGTCGCATGCATGCATAAAATGTCAACATAATCCAATACTTATAGAAAAGTTGTCTCAGTATGTGTAAATGGTAAATGGATTACCATTACATAGTGCTTTTTACCTTAGCGGCACTCAAAGCGCTTTACAATGTGATTCTCATTCACACACACATTCATACACCAGTGGTGACAGAGCTGCCATGTCAGGTGCTGCCTGCCATTGGGAGCAACTTCAGGTTCAGGGTCTTGCCCAAGGACACTTTGACTGTGGAGGGGCGGGGGATCAAACCACCTACCTTACGATCAGAGGACAACCGCTCTACCACCTGAGCCACAGCCGCACTTCTACAAGTCAGCAGATAACATTATTTATTCCAGTTTAAGATGTTTTTAAACATGTTCTTAAAATTCAGTTCAATCCAATTTTATTTGTATGGTGCAGTTTACAACATATGTCACCACAAAGCGCTAACATAGTAAGGTATAGACCTTATAAATTTAAACAGAGAACCCAATGATCCACAGTAGCCTTTGGACTCCCTCTGAGCAAGCGGTCGACAACAGTGGGAAGGAACCAACCTCGCTCCCCAAGGCAGGGAGGGAAAAAAATCCTCCGGCATCTACCTTGACCGGTTGGGTGAGAGTGGGGATGAGGGGGTGGGGACAGCAGGATTTTAGTCTCTGCTTTGGTTACTTGATGTCTAAAATTCACTTTCTCATCAGTCTAAATTCCAAGATACCTGTACTCTAACTCTGTCACTATTTATAGCACTCTTGGTGGAGATGATGAGGTGGAGATGGCAAAAAGTATGTATTTAGTTTTACTACTACTACTACTTTCTACTAACCTCTTATTTAGCTGTCAGGTTGGATCAAACTTTTCATTAGTGATTAGTTTGTTCCTGACTCATTTCTGACTCATTCCCGACTACGCACGGGCTGCAGCTCTGACACACAGAACTTGAACTCAACCAAAACATCCACCCAGCTTGCTTTATTCTGACACAAACAATCTGAATTCCATGAATTTTAGCAGATGTCGTCAGCTGCCATTGTTTTTTTTAGCTACGAGCTCAGTGTTGAAATCGTTGGAACGACCTAAATGTTTTAGTGCACGCGCCAGCACCAAAGATCACCTGCCCAAACACAACCTGAGGTGGAGAAGCTTAAGAAAAACAAATGTAGTTGTTGGTTTTGGCTGCTTAGCTTTCACCTACCGTCACCGAGAATTTTCCTGTCAACATCTCTGTGGTATCTACTGTGACGTTTGCCTGTGTGAACGGCCTAATGTGGTGCTTTTCTTGTTCAAACTAGATAGTGGCCGCTGCACACCTTCAGTCTTCTAATTAGAAATTTCTGAGTAATTAAAACCCTGAAGGTAAGGAGCAGCTTTTATATCGATCTACTTCTGCAACATTAACAAGCAAACAAAAAAAAAAAAAAGAAAATCGCAGAAAATCCGGCAGCAATGA